TGAGAGTAGTCTGGAATTAGCTCATATTTTTAGGACCTTTATCTCTATTTTTCATGTTTTTGAACTTGTTGATTAGACTAGTGATGAAGGTACAGAGTTTTGCTCTTGCTTCGTCTAGCTGTATTTGCCAAAAACTACTATTGGTGTTTAATGTACTGAAAATACACGTACTAAAATTTTTGAAACTATTTGATTGGAACTAGGCAGTTGAAGTTATTCACGTTTTATTGCATGGTTTGAATCAGTTGGATCTAAGCAGATACGTAACGAACGTTAATTTTTTCTAACAATAATTACTGAAATGACCCTTTTTGCAGGACCATCAGTTTTTCTAATATAATAACCTTCCGCTTGGAGGTGGTTGACAATGTTTCGTAGTGCATTTCATTAGTTGGGACTTCCATTGTCTAATTTGATATAAAGTGATTTGATTTTTTGGTTGTTGCTTGTATTTTATTTCATTATAATTTCAGTTTTTTGCTTGATATAATTGTTAATTTCCTACAGATTCTTTCAGGGATTTCATCAAGTTATATCAAATTAGACAATGGAAGTCCGAATTATTAAAATAAACCTTCCGTTTCTCTAAATCGACTAAGGATTGGAATTTTTCTGAAGGATGCACGACAGGTATCACATTTTCATTCACATATTGATTTATTATGGTATATTTCTCCAAATGGCTCAGAGATAGCAATGATCAACTATTCCTTTATTGTTTTGGTTGGTTTCTGGATTTTGCCGTGGTCTCCTTTGGCAGTTGCAGTTGAAACGTTTGGAGATTATAATCAAAGAAGACCAGGCAAAACACGTAACACGCCAGCCGTAAGAGCCTACATGCTACATTTATTCATTCATCAAGTATCTTCTGTATATTTCGACGAAAGCCAATCACATTTGTGAATAATTCAGTTTGAAAATATCTGTTACTATCTCAAAAAAATAACCCTATTAGAATCAGTCACTGTTGAAGTAGCTTGCATGAATATAAATAGCGGAACCAAGTTGAAAATGCACTAATCTAAATAATGGAATTCCTGCTGCAAAGCCAGTTGGCAAATTGAAAGCGTCGAGCGGTTGTGGATAGTATGACGTAACCGGTGAGCACTAGCGATCAGCTATAGCGGTAGGTTAGATAAGGTCCAAAGTGACATGGTATATCCAACCCTTCATCGCAACCCACAAGCGTTTATTTGGCTCTCACCACTTCACACTCGACCAAATGAACTCTGCTTCTTATTGAAGCCGATTAGTTTATATGTATGTGTGTTTATATGAGTAGTCCTTCAGGTCATATGGTGAGAGTACGGCTCTGAACTCTGAAAACCTGATTTGGTCCGCAGCGGGGCAGGCACAAAATAGGTGCTCTGCTGTTTTATCATTTTCCAAACAGAGGCGACACACACATGCTAGATTGATAGCGGAAATTTCGGAAAATCACATGAGAAGGCAAACTTGAAAATCGTTCATTACAAAAACTGTGTCCGTAGTAATAGCATGCTACTTTCGTGATTGTTATTCCTTGAACGCGTGTGCGCTTGGTCCTAATAATATGCAGAATTTCTCCATAGAATTCCGCATAGAATTCCTCCAAAATCATGATAGGTACCAAACAGAAACTGAACATTTTTCCCCACTGAATTATGGAATTAATTGAATTTCACTGGCAACTGGTAAATGACACAACTTCACCAAAGGTCTGTAAACCAAACCCTTCTTTGTACAAACGTCAGCAATACTTGCAGTACCATTTTTTCCATAGTATGATTTTCCAACAAGAACAAGACTCCATTTTGAAGAAGGAGTTTGTATTTTCAATTAGTACCATTGTATCCAAAGAAACGAGATCAGAAACTTTCAATTATTCACTTATTTGCTGAAGAGTATGAAGATATTCATCATGTCACCTTCCCCAGAAATGTTGGAGATTTTGCAATAATTGCCAACAATTCGATTTTTTCAAATTTGAATGTTTTGAATCTGGATCTGGCAATGAACTAAGAGACTCTAAAATCAAAAACTTTCCTAATGTAAAACTGACAGTATATTAAAATACAATGGAAGTGAATTTAATAGAGCTTCAATATGAGTCAACAAAGTATAGAATTCTACGCGGTGAATATGGGCTTTAATTGATTTTGATTTGACTTCTGCCATACCTGAAAAATGTTTAGAGCCTGAAGAATTGAACTTGAAAAAAATATTTTGTCGTTTTGTAACTTGTTTGAATAAATTAGAAATTCCTTCATTGATACCTACAGAATCAGTTCCTCATTCTGATATGATAATGTCATAACGTCATCTGAGAGTAGGAACGTGCTATAAATATTCTAAAGGCAGCAATGAATGCATGACTCTTTGAATTTGAAACAAGTTTTACACTTTTTATTCATGCATACAAAAACATGCATAGGATGCATAGGCTTCACTAGTCTTAGCACAGCGTAATTTTCCCGAAAAGATTTGGAACGGACCTGCATAGTCAAGCCCAACGTTTAAAAAGCTTTTATTTTCGAAACTCTGGAGTAAAGGAGGTCTCCCATAGAAGATTGATAGATTTTTGTGTGAAAGTGAAAGAATTTTAAGTTGGTCGATACTGCAAAGCTAATATTTTCATCTTCAAAGTCAACTGCTTAACTATAGCGTTAACTTGCAGGTAAATCATCGAGTTATGCTTGATTTTGATAAACAAAAATTGACTTTTCTCAAAATATGTATCAATTGATCACGTAGTATTTGAGCTTTTTTCAAACTAGATTCAAATTTGAAGAAACTGAACATACATTTTCAATATAAATAAAATTTTCTAGAACTTCAGCAGCTAACGGAAAATTATTTCCTTCATCTTCAACTAATTGTAAAATTACTCTGTTAGCAATAAATGGCGGAGAAGGTAAAACAAATGTTACTTGTTTCATAAGATTCTTTGACCTGATCATTTGGTAAAAACGTCCTCACAATTATTTGATAATTTCGATATTCTGGAGCGACTGTCATCTGAAAAAGCATTTTTTCATATTCTCTGTGAATGCGATTGTGTGAAGCCTGAATTCGAGAAGAATCAAAAATATATTTTTCTGCAAATTCTTCCCCACCAAGAGGGTTCCATTTAGGGAAATACCTTGCGAAGACTGAGTAGAGCCATCAAATACCACTCTCAATTGCGTTGAACTACTATCTACGAAAACACAGTGATGGGTTAGTAATAATATATTTTTTGAAACAATTTTATATCGTGGTTGCATATAAGTAATATAGCTATTGGAATTTTAGCTCAAAATCCCATGTATTTTCTTATGGAACATCATTCTTGCGATTTTTTGACCTCCTATTGGATTCGAAATTCAAAATAGGACAGGATTTTCCAACATATATCTTGAATTCCGATTATAGCAGTTGGATATAAAATGTTGCTTATAAAGAGAGCGATACAGGGAAAAGTAGAAGTTTCTGGAGTTCATATCCTTCTGGGTTCACCTTGAAAATCAGTTTGAGGAATAATTGAAGTCAAATTTTGAGGAACTAGGTATTTCATATTCATTTATATTCGAGCTTGAGTGATATTTTGAATGACAAAACATACAAGTTGAAATTGATTTATATTTATTCGTTATGTGCTGAGAGCTCAGAAAATAATTGGTGCATAACCTCTTCTGTTTCACGGACTGAAATCTTTCTTCGAAATTCAGTACAATATTCAGAACACTTGTAAATCGAATGATCTCGATTATAACCGGAGTAAAAACAATTTGTATTCGAAAAATGTTTTAGCGATTACGAAAAATTTGTTGAGGTTTGTTTGAGTTTAAGATGATTTTGAATACTTTTCCAATCCTGAGCGATGTGTTAGATGAAAGGTCAATTATTTTGAACCAATCTATGATTTTTAATACCATTATCTTTAGAAGCAACTGAAGAAATGATATTTTAATGAATCTGTTTAAATTTTTCGTGGTACTGATCAACTCGCCAGAATGAAGCGCCATAAGAAAAAGCATGGGATTTTGGGCTGGAACTTATATAGCTATATTACTGAAATGAAATTCTAAATAGAAGTCTTATATTTCCATTGGTTTCTGCCTCATTGGCAGTATCTGAAGTTTCTGACATTTGATTGATATTAACCTTTCGAAGAGCTCTATATTATTGACTAATGTTCATATGACGAATAACCCTCGATCAGTTAAATGAACAGTGGGAATGAGGCATTATTAGAGTGCAAACGTATTGTGTATTAATGTATGTTGTGGGATGAGTATAAATATGGTATTCTGATATTTCTTTTTTATGTCATCTGGTGAAGAGAGCAGTGGGATTCAATCCAAATACGTCCTTCGTAATATTGTACAAACTTTTGGAGTGATAACGACAAGCTCCTCAGTTTAATAGTCGTCCTGTTCATCAAGATCAAAATAGAATGAAACCCAGAAGAGGTTTAAAGAGGTTTGACTTGTTTCAATTGTGGTATTCTGGGACATGTCGTATTGGGTGTTCTAGTTGTGAACGTTTAGGCGTGTAACTCACAAATGTCCTCCACTTGAGAGAAGTTCAAGAGATTTGCCATGGAGTGAATTCATACGATAATTTTTTTGCAAATTGCGAAGATTGAAAACTTCAAAGTTCAATGCCTAATTGATGCAGGTAGTTCTATCTCATTGATGAGAATGACTATTGCAAAAAAACCTAGGTATTGTTTCGAGGTCATCAACATAAGTAACATTCTTTATTTTCATGTGTAGTTACCTACAAACCAAAAACTATTGTCAGTTCAACATAACCATTCAAAGTGTTTCAGCGAAAGTTTTTCCATTCATCATCGATGATCAATTTTTGATACATGAATTGGAGCGTCATTGCGGCGCCTTGCATCTAATGTCACAAATCTCAATTCTTATTATGCGACAACGGTAGACTGAGGTGTTGGAAAAACCATCTTGGCAGGCTATGATGGACTTCCCATACTCTGACTTCGTCTCGATATACCTGACAAAAGCGACTGACAAAAGCGAAGATCAGGTGCTCTGATGATGCGCGATATTTGATATTGTTGAAAGAGACCGTTTTTCGAAAGGGAACTGTCTGATTCTCGACAAACCAATGCAGATTCTTGACAAACTAATCCAGGTGCTTCACTCCCACTAGATGACGCTAGTTGAAAACTCCGACTAGTTAGCTGTGGGTGCTTGTTGATTATTTTTGACCAATAGATATTTAGCCATCTGTGACAAGAACAGCGAAGTTTTCGAACCCACACGGCTCTTTGAACGTCATTTGAAATCATCAAGTATTACATACAGTCCATTTTCTCCCCAACCTGTTGAAGTTCTCTACAGTTTTTCAGCTTGATTTGGACGCTAAATGATGAGGTTGCCCTTGAAAGTTCTTCCAAAAAGATTTCATTTCATCAGCAGCATACGGATCATCCACAACATGTGAAAGCTCTTGGAATGAAAGATACTATTATCATTGTCATTATTGACATCAGTTTCCGTCCGAAATGGTGCTGGTCAAGCCCTATCCTCAAAGCTTGATATAGTTGAAAGAGCGTGCCAGCATTACCAACCAATGACTACTCCCCTACACCATGGTATAAGTGATCAATGGGCCATGTCTACTGAGCAGATGCAGTGAGACAAGAAACCCAGCCCTAAGCATTTATTGGGCTAAGACTAGATGACTTCACGACAAATATCTTGCTCTGATGGTCGAGAAGAACTACATTAGGCTCATCAGCTCATATGAACCAGAGGGTGGGGAATACTTTGAAAGAGTTTGGCATGTTTTATATCCACAATGAATTCAATAACCTCCAGAGCGTAGGGAAATATTGTCGCCTTATCAATATAGAAGAAATGCCTCAGGTGGTAATGAAATACTCTTCAGTCCACTCGACCTGAGAAAAGCAAAGGTCAGGTGCAGTGATAAGTCGATGTCTTTATTGTTGCTGAATAATACTTCATACATTCACTCATTCCTGTGTTGCCTGCAGCAACACAATACAATAGACTTGGCACTTCCCATTCCCCAAAACACATTCAATATCTCCGGAGCATATGGCATCACCGGTGTCTCATTAAAACCGTTTCATAGTTTGTAATGAAGCATTGTTAGGGTCGCGTTATAACAAGGGATATAGATTGAGACCATCTATAATGAAAATATTTAAGAAACACAAAAACGCAACATGTGTTTCGCTATACAATAGTTTTTTGCAGACATGCCATCACTTGTTTTACTAAAACGCAACACGTGTTCTGCTATACAATAGCTTCTTCAGGCGTATCATCACTTCATTGAAGTGAAGACACGCCCAATGAAGCCAAACTCCTGTTGGTTCTATTCAGAAGTTTGTATGATACGTCTACAAAAATATGATCGAAAACGGAAAATTCATTATATTTGTGAATGCAGGAACGTTTTTTGTGATTTCTTCGGTATTACTGAAAAGAATGTATTAGAGAATGTATAAATGAGTAATCAGATCTCCATGATGAAGGTGATATGAAGTAACATAAAACAAAGAATACTTACCACATCGAAATAAGTGATTACATCCGCTCCTCCTTTTCTCGCAACAGCTCTTAGTTGAAACTGCATGTGAACTAAATATGCTCCATATACCAATTTGCTGAGTGGTATCCATGGCTTCCAAGAAAGGAATCGGTAAATATATTTGGTATGTCCATAACTTGCCACATACAGTACTCCCACACTCCCCACTGACCAAACCACTCGATGCAAGGAAGCATATAAAGCTGACCCAATTCGATCGTATTCGTAATCAGGATTATAAAATATGACGCCAGTGATAATGGATGATACCATCAGAAGAAGAGATATCACTAGAATGATGTGAGAATAAACCTGTAAAAATCATAGTATGTACTCACTATATGTCTTAACAACAATATCAATTGTTGATATAGTATCTACCGACGAAGAACTGAAAACGGGTATTTCTTCATTCAAAACTCTATTATTGGAATATAAATTATTGTTATTATATGAACTTCAATGATTGTCATTTTCTTTGATTTTTTTAAAAGTTTTTTTTATTGAAAAGAGATATTTTTAGAATAGATTTCTAGTTCTCCATCTTGATACAAAAAATTTGTGAATCTTCCAAAGAAATGAAGAAAGCAATCAATTTCAAAAATTATCTCTACCTACATAAAGATGTCTAGATCATCTTGAATTCGACATATTTGCCATTTAGGCTTGAGTATTTTCCATGAATATTCTACTGAAGCGTAATCAAATTAGACGCCGATAGAGTTCAAGTGTAATTCGATGAAATTTTCAATCGACAATAATGTTTTTCACTTGACGAGTTTTTATCATTCCAGGAATTGTGATGTTTTTCAATTCATTCTCGACAATTTTGTATTCATTCCCAATTCACAATTGGGTAGTACAGCGACTTCTTCTTTTGTACTCTCTACAGGAAGTTTATTTCATCATGCGGTAACATTGCTATACAGGGTGTTCCTAAACATCGTGCACATACGAAAGGGGGTAGTTCTTTGGCTTATTTCATAACAAGGAGTTCATATAAACATAGGTCCGCAAACGCTTCGTTACCGATTTACAGGGTGTTGAAATTACAAGATTTTTCTGGTTATTTCTTTGGAGCTCCTGCAGTTTTTGAGATATTAACCTCAAATTTGGAATCTAGATTGCGTTATAGGGCATACATTAGTGGGTTTTGTCAGATGGTTGTTGATTCTACAAGGTGATATTTTTTCAGGAGTCATGTTCCATTTTCTCCCCCTGAACTTTTTTACTGTGCGCCGCTGGTAGATTATAAAATACAAAATGAATTTTCCCTTTTATTTGGAAACTTTTTTTGTTTAGAAACTCTTTTCGTTTCTACGACCGTTATCGAGAAAAAAATTAAAGATTTTTTGTAGAAATGATTCATTTTACAATACAAAAACCTAAATAATAACAATTAAACTGCATCATAACAAATGTTGAATGTGACCCCCTCCTACCCTTATACATGCGTCTGCTCTTCTTCTCATTGATGCCCGTACTCTTGCGAAGACTCCTGGAGTATTTCTTACAGTTTCAAATGCATTTATTATCCGATTTCGTAAGTCATCATGCCCTATAACGCAATCTAGATTCCAAATTTGAGCTCAATATCTCGAAAACTGCAGGAGCTCCAAAGAAATAACAAGAAAAATCTTGCAATTTCAACACCCTTTAACAACACCCGCGTTTGCGGACCTATGTTTATATGAACTTGTAGTTATGAAATAAGCCAAAGAATTACCCCCTTTCGTATGTGCACGATGTTTAGGAACACCCTGTATATTCTAAACGGTAACAGATACAAAGACCATTAATATTGGAAAAAAGGTAACTATCATCGGAATAAATACAATGGTCGCAGAAAATTTTCGGTGACTCTTGCCCTTCTCGAGTTATACGGGAAAAACGAAAAATTCTTTTTTTCTTTTTTTTTCGGATGAAATTGTTATTTAGGAGAATATAAAAAAATGGAAAATATGTTATTGTATTCGAAGTACACTATGATGATGTAATAATAAATATTCAATAAAACGTTTCGTGTCAACATGCCCACCATCAACTTTTTTTTAATAAGGACCTGTCTTCTATATCACAGATAATGATAAAGCGATAAATTCACAATCCAAGGGTATATCACATTTGATATTTTTATATCGTTTCATTTGAAATAACCACCATCATCAGTGACAACAATCAAACAGGAAAGCAATTTATTTTATCATGAAATTTTGGGAAAAATGAAAGCAATACGGAAAATCAAAGCTATATAGCAATCAAATGGTCGAAATGGCGACCTCTTTGTTGAATGCACATGAATTGTCGGTCCAGACAATTTCTGTGTCAATTTTCTAGCATAATATTTGTTTGAGATGATCTATATCTGTACTTGATGTTGAGAAAACTATCCTCTATGTATCTCCAGATAAAAAAATTCAGATGTATAACATCTTGGGATCGAGCTGGCCAGTTAATTGATACATTGTTTCCAATCCATTTTCTTGGGAATATTGTATCTAAATATTCCTTTACTATTGCTGCATTATGGGGAGGAGTGCCGTCCTGCTGAAAATATTGTATTTCATGGCGGATATTCAGTGGCAATTCATCTAAGTAGCCATCGAATTTATTGAATAGAGAATTGAGATCAAATGATCATCGTAAAAGTAAGTGCCAAGGACGTTTGTTTCCACAATTCCCAACCGAACATTCATTCCAAAATTTTCCTGGAAATTGGTTTTTCTATGTAAATGTTCATTTGTATTATTCCACCTATAATGGATATTTCTCTCAAATCAACCAGTGTTGGTGAATCCCAAGGATGTTTGTTCCCACAATTCCCAACCAAACATTTATTCCGAACCTTTCCTGGAAATTGGTTTCCCTATGTAAATGTTCATTTATATTATTCCACCCATAATGGATATTCCTCTCAAACCAACTATTGTTGGTGAATTTTGATTCGTCCGTTCATATCATTTTTTTACAAATATTCCCTATTTCTACATCTTAACCACTTAGCAAATCGTACTCTCCTTCCGTAATCCATTTCATTGAGGTGATGAACTTTGCATATCCTGTAGCATTTATATTTGTTCTTTCATAAAATAGTTCTGGTAGATTTTACAGTTTTTTCATAATTTGAATACATCTTTGATATGTTCATAAACGTTTGACAGTTCTCAACAGATATCAACAACGTATTCATTTTTCCTGCCATAGAAATCAAGCAATGCCTACGAGTTTAAGATGGCAAATGAATTGAGATGCTATTTGATCATACCAAATTATACAATAATCGAATTTTGATCAAAAAGCTGATATTTTCTTAACTTCCAGGATTGAGAATTATAAAAATATTACGAATTATAATTGATTAGGGAAAAATAAGCCTTGAAAGAAGAATAACGGCAATACAAAAATTTACAAAACATAAAAGTATGAATTTTCATTGTATTAGGGTACCTACCTGTCGAATTTATTGGGTTGTCTGAATTATATTTTGAAAAAATCGAAACAATTTTCAAAAGAAGTAACGACAGGACCGCAATTTGAAATTGTTGTCATTGATGATGATAATTATTTGGAATGAAACGCTATAAAAATATCAAATGTGATATACCCTTGGATTGTGAATGTGTTGCTTCATTGATATATGTAATGAAAAAAGGTCCGTATTTAAGAAAAAGTTGATGGTGGTCATGTTGGTACGGAACGTTTTATCAAATATTCATTAATACGTCGTCATAGTATACTTCCAATAAAATAACAAATAACGTTCTTTCCCGTTTATGATTGATATTCTCCGAAATAACAATTCATTCGAAAAAAACGAAAAACAGCATTTTTGTTTTTTCCCGTATAACTCGAGAAGAGCGAGAGTCCCCGCGAATTTTCTTCGACCGTTATATTGTAACCGATGACGGTTACTTTTTTCCCGTTTAATCGTCTTCGTATCTGAATATAGCAATGTTACCATATGATAAAAGAAACGGCCTGTATATCATAGAAAGGCTATTAGTACCTTATTATCAACTCATAACCCACTAATAAATAGTAGTGCACTAGTTGGTCCCGGTCCATCGTCCAAAAATTCAACGAATTGAGCGTCAAAGTTTGCCTCACCCACTATATTTCCCAGACCTCCCGCCAATACACTATCATCTTTTCAAGCATCTTTGATGACTTTCTCACCGGGAGAACCTTCGTCAATCAGAACAAAGCAAGAACAGCCTTCGTAGACTTCATCGAAGCTCGATCACATAACTTTTATGCTGACGTCGATGAAAGTGCACTGATTAAAATGGCGCTCATTTTGATTGAATTGAATAAGTAAGTATATATTGCGATATTAATGTTCAACGTAGACACATATAAACGGAAAAAGCTTTTGAAACAAGCTAACATCAGTAATTCTTCGAAACTGACACTCCCCAGTTTTAAGGACTGAGAACGGCCCGCCCCCGACAAGCCGGAATCTACTGTTCACCATTGCATCAGGTGGGCCAGAGTGCCTAGGTTAGATGGTGGCGGTGCTCATATACATACTCCCAGAAAAATTTCATTCGATGTACGGTTGGAGAATATTCCACAATATGTAGACGCTCTTGAAATATGCCAGAAACGCTCTCACACAATTTGCACTTTCTGCTATACTTCTCACTCTCCTCACTAATGACTTTTCAGCAGTCATCAGGATATGTACATTATCAGGACAATGCTGCTTGGTAGTTAACAACTACCTTAACGCTTATCCAGATTCTTTCATAAATTCAACGATAAATTCAATAGAAAATAAAGGGTCAATTAAAAACCAAACGAACATACAAACAGCTTCACAAATTCAACAACATCCAACTCAACAACATCCAACTCAACAATTACCGACTCAACATCCAACGACACCTTTTACAACTAACGTTATACCTTACATTCCAAGACTATCTGAAAAAATAAGACGAATTGGAAATAGATATGATGAATTCGATTCCGCGGCTTACGTTTCATTATTATTTTTTTTCCTACCGAAGTTTGCGCCGGTCACGCCTTATCTCCCGAAGCCCCAATACATTCGGGAAGGCGCGCCAGCATTATCAACCAACGATCACCCCTCACATCGTGGGGTGAGTGAACATGTGCCCTGAGTAAGCACAGTGAGCTGAGAATGACAGCCTTCTACATCTGTCCGCCTGATATTTTTGCCTAAGTGCGACAAGCCGGAATGATTTTGACATTCGAGAGTAGAGAGGGCATTCTTCCACCAAGGATTCCAATAATCAGAGCAACCATCTTGACAGAGTAGACTGGATAGAGTCTGTTGGGTCTCAAAA